CAGATCATTCCTATCGGACTTCGTCACATTTGAAATGTTGGGGAGGAAGAGCAAACCACGTGGGAGAACAATTTTTGGCATAGCTACTTCGAGGAACACCACCGGCATTTGCAAGCAAAGAACTGTACGTAAATGGATTAATATATATTGCCTAAGCATGTTCGTTGACAATTGAAAATTACAAGTAACCAATAATAAGTTACTTCAACGGCAACATCCCGTTATTCAAAGCAAAAACATAACAAATTTCATCTTTTTATATCTAAATTATGTCATATAAGTTTAATGCGTATCAATCTTAATTTTTTAAAAAAATTTAAAATTTCAACATACATTTAGAAATTAAAATTTTAATTTAAAATTCAAAAATTCATTATATTAAATATTGATATATAGATTTGAAAACTAATTATAAATTGTAATATAAGTAGATCTAAGTATCAATATTTAATAAAATAAAATTTTAAATTTTAAATTAAATTTTAAATTAAATTTTAATTAAATAAAATAAAATAATTTAATATTAAAATTTTAATTTATTTTAAAAATCAAAATTAATATACACTTCTTTTGTAATATATTTGTATAGAGCTTTTAAAATTTTACTGCGGAGGCATGAGTCACTGGCAAAGCTAGGGAGTCTCGGAGTCTCAAACCCCTCTAAACTTTTCAAAATCATTAATACAGTTCGCTAATTTTTATTTTATTATTTTTATTATTTATTTATTTTATACAATTTTAATCTTCTTTTTTTTTTCTTGTGTTTCAATGTTTCATTTTGTCCCTTTAAAAATGTTTTTTAGCTCCACCACTGGCATTAGCTAGTCTAATAGTCTAATTGTCTAAGTACATGCCAAGGCTAAAAAATGTTTCATATTTGAAGGACCATGATTGGTGCACACCATGATTCAACATCTGGGTGTGCACCTTCCACATAAAAAAAAAAAAAAAAAAAAGAATCGGGTATTCTTCATTTTTTTTTATGCAAAGTGTGCACACCCGGGTGTTGAATCCGGGTGTGCACACATCATTTTCCATATTTGAATACTTGATCAATCCTAATATCTATTAAAAGGAAAAGTAAAACGAAGTATTACAATTGAAAAGAAGAACACGTGTAGCAACAATGCAAGGCATTAATCACGGGTTAGGCCCATAATTAATGAGAGTCATTTACAATTCAAGAGAAAAAACGTGCACCAGTTTGCCCTAATTAATCCTATGATTTGACTGATAAGTTTTAGTTTGAACCAAATATAATAATTTTCAAAGCATCATTTTCTTCTTCTTTTTTATTAATTTTATTTATTTTTTATATATTAAATGATAAATTATATAATAAAAAATAACTTTTTACTTTTCAAAAGCTTTTTAATTTATCCAAGAATTTAAATTTAGAGATTTTTAATATAAAAACTTAAAATTTTAATTATTGTGAGTCGGAGACATCTCATAAGAAATTTTTTGTTTTCTTCATTTTTATTGGCTTTATAATTATGAGTCTTCTAAGCTCTCAAGTCCCATCCCCAAAATTTTCAATTTTTCACAAAGTTGATCATTTTTGGCTGGCCATCATTAGGAAAGATTAATAATAATGTGATGAAAACCAATACAAAAGTTGCCATATGTGAGTGGGTCATGAGATATTTGACTACTAATGCCATTTTCACTTTGGGATTTTCCACCTAAATTAAATGCTCATCGTCTATGAAGCAAGAATGCATGATTGTGGACTTTGTTGATCGTGTAAGGACTTGAGGAGCGAAGCCATGGGGTTAGCCGAGCGCCGCTAAAGAGCTGAAACTGTGGTCTATTTTGAAATCGTGTTATGTGGGGTGGGAAAAAGAATGGATCGTACTTATTAAATTGGGTGTTGATGGTGTAGAGGGGAGTGAAGCAGAAAGCACAGAAACAAGTGGTCCAACTTGGCTTTTAGTTCAAGTGTGGTAATAGTCAGATAGGGACACAAATCTATCTTTTTCACCTGCTTTCGTTGAGAATCCATGTGTTTTCCTCTACCATTTTACTAGTACTCCATGATTCAGCCCCACCTCCTTAATTATCTCTCCCCATTTATATATATACATTTAAAAAAGAGTTCCATATTTTGGTAGTGGGATAACTTCTAATATTAGAGGACCCGACATATACCTTTTATTTAATAATTTAATTTATGTAATATTTTTTTAGTACATTTGATTATGCACTATATAAGAGAGATAATCCCTCTCTATTATTAAATTTTTTCTCATTTAACTTAAGGTTTAAACTTAAAACCTTTAACTTGAAGTTTTAAACTTTTAACCATTGAGTTACATCATTGAGATTTAATTTATGTAATATAATACAATCTGAATTATACAAATATATTTTTGATAAATTATTCCAAGGTAAAGTTAGGGAGATGGATTGGGGCAGAATTTGGGCTACCAGCAGGTAGGCCCAAACAACCTAGAAATTCAATAAATTGCAGTGAGAATTAATTAGTACCAATGTGGTTTGTGAATAAGAAAGGGTTTAATACTAAGAATTGGGCCGTAAAGGACTGTATTTGCAATATTATTATCCAACGATGGCTACAAGTCCCACACCTGGACTTGTCACTGTTCCTTGCAAAGCTTCTGGGCCTGGTTTCTAACTGTAACTAGCGGTGGAGACTAGAGGACTGGGGCAGCCTGAGTCGGCCCAAAAGAAAAACCCAGTGCTTGCTTAGAGCCTGAAAATCAAAGCCATTACATTCATTCTTGGACAAAAGCCCCCACAACCCAAACCCCTACCCCTTTCACTTTCAGGTTTCACTTTCTTATCTTCCAGCATGCCTAAAGCTCATTTATTGACCTAATGGAGCAAGATAAGAAAGTGAAAGCTAATTAAATTATGAATTTTGGAAAATAATTTAGGAATAATTTATTTATATTGTTTTTTAGTATCATTTTTTTTTTTACAATTTTACATGTCATTTAAGTAATTAATTTTTTATTTATTTAAAATTTATG